CGCTACAGGAGAAGACCATTCAGCTCATTGTCTGTGCCAGCTCTCCAAATAAGCATTTCACCTGGTGGCACTCTACTGCCTTCTCCCTGGAACATGGAGAATGACACGTTCATCCTGACACTGTTTCCCATTTGTCTATCCTCTGTTCAGCTAAAACATCACTCCCAACACCATGAGCTCTCCACCTCTGGACTAACCTTTTCATGTGGCACCTTATTGAATGCCTTTCAGAAATCTCAATATGATATATCCATTGAGTCCCCTTTATCCATCCTGCTTGTTACATCCTCAAAGAAAGCTCACAGATTTGTCAAATTACTAGAATCTATAACTAAGGATAGGATGGCTGAACACCTTAAATTTTCAGCTCATTGGAGTCAAGCATGATTTTCTAAACATTAGGTCATGATGAACTGACTTAATTGTTTTGGAAAGGTGTTAAGTGGTGAACAGGAGAAAGCTTATGGGTTTTTTTTTTAAATACAGACTTTCAGAGGAACTTAAATGTCCTCATTAGAGACTGTTCCCAAACATTAAAGGTCAGGGATTTGAAGGCAAATGGTTCACTTGCTCAGGAAATTGGCAGGAAACAAAGATGAGGCTAATGGACAGGTGCTCTCACTAACAGGATGTGGCTAACTGTATCTCACAAGGATCTGGGTAATGGGCAGGTTGTTTCATTGATCTGGGTAATGGGCAGGTTGTCTCATCGATGGGACATGGCTAACTGTATCTCACAAGGATTTGTTTTGGGGCGTCAAATATTTACCATCTTCATTAGCAACTCAGACAATGGAAGAAAAAGTCACGTGTCCAAATCTGCAAATGACACAAAGATAGGCGACATTGTGAGCTGTGTAGACGGAAGCACAAAATTATAAAGAATTATTAATAGTATTAGCTGTATATTAGTGGTGTTCAGTTGTCTGCAGCTGGTGGGTTAAGCTGCAGTTTCACTTGTGCCCTGGTAAGTAGACACAGTCTGAAACTGTGGTTAATTAAACAGAAACTGCCAGAAATACTCATGAGTATTATAAATAAATGTAGACCTAGCCAGCGATGTCCACATCTCATTAATGAATATAAGCAAAATGTTTTTAAAACATCAGGTGAAGTCTGTAGAGAGAGAAATACAATTAATGTTTTAGCTTTCGAATCTCTCTTCAGAATAGTGATTGTTGGGTTAGGAGATGCATGGCTGTAATGTGTAACTCTGTAAATAAATGCTGAGAAAGGTGTAAATATTGGCTCCAGTTCCACCTTCAAGACTGGCTTTCTGCAACTGAATAAATTGATTAAGTGAATTAGCCAATGGACAAACTAATTTCAACAGCAACAAGTATGAGGTAATTCACTTTGGATTTACAATGGATAAATGGATCATTGTAAAACAGTGGAAAACTTAATAGAGTGGAGGCTCAGAGGACCTGGACAAGGGAGGGTCTGGATACTTACATCATTAAAATATCAGGAACAGTGAAAGACAAATGGAATGTTAGCCCACAGACTGGGGGACTAGAATACAGGCAGGGGGAAATTACTCTGCAGCTACATTTGGGACTTCGATGATCAAATATATATTCTGATTCTTTAAGTATAAAATGATTTTCCGTCTCAGCTGCTTTCCAACATTTATACCAGAAAGAAGGATTAAAAATCAATTTATCACACAAGTTATCTGGTTAGTGAAGGTTTCCTCACTGAGTGCCTCATTTACCCGGGAATCAGCAGATCAAGCTCATGATCCAGGCTGACGCTGAGGGAGTGCTGCACTGTCACAGGTGCTCTCTTTCTGTTTAGACATTAAACTGAGGCCCATCTGTTCTCTTGGATCAATGTGAGTGATTTCACTGCACAGTCAAGTCCAACCTTATGTTGTGGGGATGAGGGTTCAAATCCTACCACCAGCATCACCAACTCTGGATGCAATTTGTTCACCGAGCAATCCTTCATTGAGATCCACATGACACCACCGGGCCAAGAGAGCTCTGCAAAGCTCAACAGTCAGAAGTCACAGTTCATTCCTGCCCACCTGCCTCGAACTCCCCCGCAGTGTTAGTCAGTGACTCTGTGATGTATTCGGTCTACTCCAATAGGACATCTTGCTCCGTCCATCGTGCAGTGCGTGGGGTAAGAGAGAGGCTATGATTTTAGCACAAAAAATAATCTGGAATTAAGAATCTAATGATGACCATGAATCCATTGCCTGGATGCCAAACACTCTACACCTCTCCCAGTTTCACGGATTCAATGACAAGGTTCATTCAACACTGACTTCACTTGGGAAGGCATATGCCTGTTGCAGTTCTCCAGCGTTCTGACTGACAGGACATGGTGCACAAAAGGGGACAGTGTAGTAAGATTAGCTCATTCTGAAGAGCAGCCCCAGACACTAAGATCATTGAGGGGGTTCCTCCTCTATGTTTCACACCTGAACTAAGGTGAACACAAAATAACACGGACTGACAAAGATACCCACCAAAACTTAATGCCTAGATAAAACAAATACATCTACACCAGCTCAATATTCAGCAACACCCTTTCCCATGAACCTACATAAGACAGGATTTGCTAGTGTAATTGTCTCAGCAGATAACCACTGCCCCAGCAGAATTAACCAGGAGGACCCCTCCTCAGTGTTGCATACATGGGTCAACTGGCCAGATGCCAACATGATGCTCCACAGTTGAACAGTTTTCCGACAGCAAACAAAAAAAACAGTGGAAGCTGGAAATCAGAAACAAGCAGATTCTGCTGGAAAAACTCAGCAGGTCTGGCAGCAACTGTGGAGAAAAAGCAAGGTTAACGTTTCGGGTCCAGTAACACTTCTCAGAACACACTCCAGCCATTTCTGTTTGTGTTTCAGCTGAAGAACAGCGACAAGGGTAAAGAGATAATCCTGAATGTGAGAGGATTGACAAGTTCAGGGATAAATTGAAACAGGCAGGTGCAGAATAAAGAGTGAAAGCTGGAAGTGGAGGATGTAGATCAGTAACAGAAACAGAAATCTGGTGATATCAACCATTAATTATACAGAACAAGACTAAAGGTAAGTGAGTTACACCCAATCAATAATTACCTCAATGACCATCAAGACAGTGGGAACTGAGCATCCAGATCCCTCATTGATAGCTTACTGTGGAAAGGTCACATTATTCTGGTGTGACTCAGTTTCCAAAGGTGATCCAAACAGATTATTCCATCCCTGCTTTGACTGAACAGGAAATACAGTGTGTTGTGTGATTGTTGTCTTGTAGCTTGTTGCTATAGTGAGAACCGAACAATGTCAAGCTGCAATAATGAGCGAGAATGAGAAACAGACAAGCAGAAACAGAGAGAGAGAAAGAGAGAGAGAGAGAAGAGGGGTTAAGGAATAAAATTCTATAAAACTGGCAAATATTAGTTCAATTCAACCTGTACACGTCAAAATGCAGCACCAGTATAACAATACCTACCAAGATTTTTATTCTTTTCTTTCTCTCAGGGATGAAGACATAGAGCAAGAGAGAGAGAGAAACTGGGAGAGAGGGAAACAGAGACAGGGAGAGACATGGAATGAGCGACAGACAGGGAGAGACGGAAATTGAGAGAGGCAGAGAAAAATAAAAAGAGATAAATAGACAGAGAGAGAGATAAAGGGGGTGAGGGTGGCGGGAGGGGGGTGGGGTGTGGGGAGAGAGAGAAAAAGAGAGACTGCCTGTCTCAACAATAACAGGACAAACACAAGATGTCTGGCCACAGTCACTCCAACAAATCCTTTGAGGATTGGATTTGACATTCAAACAGTGAAGAAATAGGGCGGCTTTATCTGTACAGTCAGTGCTCAGTTCCATAAAGTCACTAAAATAACTTGCTGGCATCAGATTTCATTAAACTAAGAATGAAGATGCATCAAGTTTTGATGCTGTGATATGGAGAAAGGTTTGGCAAAGATTATGACTGTTTGAGAGTTCAGACAGTGAATGGGATAAAGCTCTTCTTTTCAATGTGAAAAAATATTAAATATTTTATAATATAATCATGGCAACACTAACACCGAATGATTGTTTTAATTTTGGTAAAAATTTCTAACTTCAATTTGTTGTACACACACACGGACTCTCACTGGGGTACAGTCCCACATACACACTGACCCTCACCGGGGTACGGGGTCCCACAC